TCATCATCATTGCTGAAGTCAGAGGCCTGGCCACGCGAAAATATTAGTTTTCTCTTGCGTTGATGTACAACCGACCATGAGTCATGAGTGCCCACACCAGAGGTAGAAGGTTGAGGATCGTCAGGGTTTTCTGCACTATTATCGATATCCTGGTCATTCCTTTTGGTCACTAACTGATCAAAGCCATAGAATTCGTCTTCATTTCCATTTCCATCAGTGTCAGAACTATCAGATAGGAAGAGGAGAGTCCCAATTTTCCGTGGAGTGAGAGCTGACTTGCGACGAGGCATGGTGAACAAGGGTAACTGAGCTGGCGTTCCCACAATGCTATGCAGGCACCTAGATTTTTTGTTTATGGCGCACACCCACCATGCAGGCCCGTTCTCTTACATGTTGGCCTATGAGCGCTTTCGCACTAAATTTGACGGCGCTAGAATTTTGGCATAGATCTACGGTTTGGACACTCAACGTGAAGCCGTAGATCTACGGGACGGACCCTGAAAGGGTTAATGGTGTTTTAGCACTTTAAACATAGGGAAATGCTTAGACTGTCATATCCGAGTCCCTCTGCAAAGACAGTGATTATGCATGAGTGAGGTGAAAGTGTTGAATTAAAATATTTTCTTTTTGTGGATTTTCTTTCTTTTTGGGTCACCCTGCCTCGGTGGGAGACAACTGAATTGTTGGAAAAAAAAATTTACTACATAATTATTTTTATTTTATTTTATACTTTATTTGGTTATCCTGGGTTAAATATGCATAGTGTGCTTTGTAGCTGAATTCCACTGTTATCATCATGAAATTGTAATAAATTTGGAATAACTAAGCCATATTTTTGTCACTTGCACAACCTGTTCACTAGTGGGAAGCTGGTGGAGGAACAATAGCTCCTGATTTAAAGACAGTGGACCCTCGCCTAACGATATTAACCCGTTCCTGAGAGCTCACCATTAGACGAAATCATTGTTAGCTGAATTAATTTTCCCCAAATGAAAATCAAATTAATCCGTTCCTGACACCCCAAAGTATGAAAAAAAAAAATTTACCACATGAAATATATATTTTCCTACACACAAAAAGAAGACATGCACAATTACTACTGTACTAAATAAAGAATACATAACACTTACCTTTATTGAAGATCTAGTGATGATTGATGGGATGGGAGGAGGGAAGATGGTGGAAGTTGTTAATGTTTGGAAGGGGAATCCCCTTCCATGATGACTTGAGGTAGCAAGTCCTTTTCCGGGGTTACTTCCTTTCTTTTAATGCCACTAGGACCAGCTTGAGAGTCACTGGACCTCTGTCGCACAACAAATATGTCCATAGAGCTCTGTACCTCACGTTCCTTTAAGATTTTCCTAAAATGGGCCACAACATTGTCATTGTACAGGTTGCTAACACGGCTTGCAATAGCTGTGTCAGGGTGATTTTTGTCCATAAAGGTTTGCAGTTCAACCCACTTTGCACACATTTCCTTAATCTTTGAAGTAGGCAACCTCATCAATTTCTCTCTCCCCTCTTCTGAACCAGTTTCCTCAGGTGTGGTCTCTTGCTGTTGCAGATGCTCTTGCAGCTCATCAGTGGTTAGCTCTTCATTGTCCTCCTCCACCAACTCTTCCACATCCTCCCCACTAACCTCCAACCCCAAAGACTTCCCCAATGCCACAATAGAATCCACAACTGGCATATGCTTCTCAGGATTAGCCCCAAACCCTTCAAAATCCCTCTCTTCTACATATTCTGGGCACAATTTCCTCCAAGCAGAGTTCAAGGTCCTCTTAGTCACTTCCTCCCAAGCCTTGCCTATAAGGTTTACACACCTGAGGATACTATAGTCTTTCTTTCCAAAACTCTCGTAGGGTCAATCGAGTGTCTGAGGTCACTTCAAAGCACTTTTGAAACATAGCTTTTGTGAAGAGATTTTTGAAGTTTGAAATGACCTGCTGGTCCATGGTCTGCTGGAGAGGAGTGGTATTAGGAGGCAAAAACTTCACCTTAATGAAGTTCATGTCCCTAGAAAGTCGCTCTGCCACGTCTGTAGGATGACCAGGAGCATTGTCTAATACCAGGAGGCACTTAAGGTCCAATTTATTTTCCAGGAGGTAATTTTTCACAGTGGGGGCAAATGCATCTGTAACCAGTCATAAAAAAAGTCCCTAGTGACCCATGCTTTACTGTTTGCCCTCCACATCATACAAATTAGCCTTGAGGATGTTGTTTTGCCTGAACACACTGGGAGTTTTAGAGTGATACACCAATAAAGGCTTCACTTTGCAATCACCACTAGCATTACCACACAACAAAAGAGTAAGCCTGTCTTTCATAGGCTTATGTCCTGGGAGTGCCTTTTCCTCCTGGGTAACGTAGGTCCTGTTTGGCATTTTCTTCCAAGAGGCCTGTTTCGTCACAATTAAACACTTGTTGGGGGTTTCAATCCTTCAGCCTGTATGTACTCCTTGAATTCCTGCACATATTTTTCAGCCACTTTTTGATCCGAACTGGCAGCTTCACCATGCCTTATCACACTATGTATGCCACTACGATTCTTAAATCTCTCAAACCAACCTTTGCTGGCCTTAAATTCACTCGCATCACCACTAGTTGCAAGCATTTTTCTAATTAAATCGTCATGCAACTTCCTAGCCTTTTCACATATGATTGCTTGAGAGATGCTATCTCCTGCTATCTGTTTTTCGTTTATCCACACAAATAACACTCTCTCAACATCTTCGAGTACTTGCTATTTCTGTTTCGAAAACAAACTTAAACCTTTTGCAAGAACAGCTTCCTTGATTGCCATTTTGTTGGCGAGGATAGTAGCGATGGTCGATTGGGGTTTGGCATACAACCTGGCCAGCTCCGAGACACGCACACCACTTTCATACTTAGCAATTATCTCTTTCTTAATTTCCATACTAATTCTCACCTTTTTTACCACAGGGTTGGCACTAGAAGCTTTCTTGGGGCCCATGGTGGCTTATTTTTTCTGTTACAAGCACTAAAAACACTGGGATAATGTGAAATGTACTGAATGTATGTGTAGATGCGGCTGCACTGGCTGGCTTATGAACACTAGCATCCACGGGGTAGCTGAGGCGCGCTCCGGCCACATGTTGTATGCGTCCTGGACGAATCACATTAGGCGAGTTTTTTATCGTTATGCGGGCCAAAATTTTTATGCTCAAACGCTTCGCTAGGCGGATTTAACGTTATGTGACATGTTCGTTAGGCGAGGGTCCACTGTACTTTACTTCTGCTAGGTAGGCATACTAGTACATTTAATACAGTCATCACCTGAGTAACCATGATACACTGTGTGGACTACTGGCCTTAGATTTTTTTCAAATACATGTATATGAATAGAATGAAGAAGACCTAGAGAGTTGTGTAGTCAGAAATATTGTCATGTGGCAGATTTGAAGGTATAAAAAATTGTGCACACAAGTATGTTGGATATAGCATTTGCATACTAGTATGTCAGACACAATTTAACCCTTTCAGGGTCGAAACCCTAGATCTGAAACTTGCTCTCAGGGTTGAAGAATTTAAAAGAAAAAAATTGTGTTTTCTTACGAAATGATAGAGAATCTTTTTCTGAACACAGTGAAACCAGAAGTATGAAATTTGATTGAAAACTTAAGGAATTATACTATCACAAATTTAGCGTTCTCAGCGATATTTATACATAAGAGATTTTGTCCATTTTGAGCCCTATTTTCGGCCAATTCCATTGTTCCAGTCGACCACGCTCAAAGCTATTTCACTAGTATTCCTTTTATTCTGTCAAATGAGTACAAAAAACCTCCTATTGACCTATTTCAACTACCCAATAAAGTGATCAGAAATCAGTAATTTGGCTCATTTCACACACCATTAAAAAATTGTCAGTTTCAAAATTTGGTCCAGAGTAAACAGTGTAGACATTCCTGGCACTAAAACACCATTTCCTCTGTTTGTTACTCACATCCTCAGGCCTCTCCTATATTACACTTGCTTTCCATTTTGAATTTTTATTCACACACAAAAAAAAAAAAAACAGAAAATTTACTGTTATGCACACTACTGCATTATTGTAATAATTGTATTAGCAATGTCAGCGCATTTGTGAACATGTATTAGACTGACCAGTTGGATGCATATTGGGCGAGTGACGTAATTTGTGTACTCGGGAATATCAGCAAAAATTGCACATTTCACAGTACTTTCAATCCTGAAACCAATCAAAATTGTCTGTATTTCTGTAATGTGCCTTACACTCTATCAAGTGAGACTAAGAAACCGAGTATATAAACATAAATTTATACCAAAATACACCACAAAGTCGCTGTTTTAAACAAAAAACGTGTTGGTAATTTTTTCCCGTTATTCTATGCATGCTGCAGGATTTTTTTTATGTGGCGCACACTTGCCACACGAACCTATTCTCTCATATCTAGGCCCAGATTTAACCACTCACGGCTTTAAACTGATAGAACTGAGCTCGTGGCATAGAACGATGGGACCGATCCAGGCTTCAAAGCCGTAGAACAATAAAACTGACCCCGAAAGGGTTAAGGACTCGTCTGTAGCTCAGGGTTTCCTGCCTATGACCTCGCTTCAAAAATAGTATCATGTTTACTGGGTATGTAGGGTTATTATGGCTTTCAATTATTAACCTAAAATCATAGTAAGAATAACAGTTTGGAATTCTTTAGATACAAAGTGCACAAGAGAATATGTGAAAGGATTGTATATGTAATAGTTTTAAGGTTTATTTTTAAGGCTATAAAATGTCTTGTCTGAAGCCAAATTAAGGGTATTAATGCATACAGCAATGCACAACTGAAAAAATGTGATTGCCCGAGAAATGTCTTTGTAAATGCAATGACTATTTGGGAATGAAAGGGGGTAAGCTGTATAAAAATGTTAATTTCTCTTACTTTTGATATATTTTCGATTAAGTAGATCATTAAAAATTATTATCCACCTTCACAATAAAATTGTAATTCAATCATTAGGAACACCAGCGTAATGGTGGAAAGAAGGATAAAGAAGAAATCCCAGAACCTGGTCCTCCAGCAAGACCAGCTCTTCCATCTCGTTTGCTTGGCCAGGAGCAGCCTCCTCCTCAGCGGCCTCTTCCACCACCACCACAAGGGCGAGATCACCATCAGCCAGCAGCACACAAGCCAGGTACACCACCTCAGCACCATCCTAGGGACCACCGTGAACATCGTGAACATCGGGAACACAGGTCAGACATTGTTGTGAGTTGTGCTTTGAAGATATTTCTAGGAACCTTAAGTGATGGGTGTAAATTTCCTAGCTTGCCCCTCCTGTATTTGCTCATAGTTAAATTTTTACCAGGTAATTTAAAATCTCCCTTCAGTGTTGTCACTGTCCTTGGCAGCAATTCATAGATAATTTCTCCAAAACCTGTTTAATTTAGTATCAAGATAGGTCCAGTCTAAACGGACCATCCCTTCATCACATTTTTGTTGTATCTTCAATGTGTTGACTTTTGAAGTTTTTCATCACTTTATACTTTTCACTCTCCATGTTTGGCCACTTTCACTTAGTACGCACTTTATTGGTACACCAATATATTTTTTTTTTTTTTCAACGTCGGCTGTCTCCCAGTGAGGCAGGGTGACCCAAAAAAGAAAGAAATCCCCAAAAAGAAAATACTTTCATCATCATTCAACACTCACCTCACTCACACATAATCACTGTTTTTGCAGAGGTGCTCAGAACACAACAGTTTAGAAGAATATACGTATAAAGATACACAACATATACAGTGGACCCCCGCATAACGATGGCATCGCATAGCGATTTTTCCGCATAACGATTACTTTTATCGCAAAATTTTTGCCGCGCATACCGATTAAAAACCCGCATACCGATTTTCGTCCGAGACGCGTCCAATGTGCCCTCAGCCAGCCTCACATGTGCCGCTCCGTCCCATTGTTTACCAGCCAGCCTCCGCGGTAACATCCAAGCATACACTCGGAATATTTCGTATTATTACAGTATTTTCGGTGCTGTTTCTGGAAAATAAGTGACCATGGGCCCCAAGAAAGCTTCTAGTGCCAACCCTACACCTCAAAGGGTAAGAATTACTATAGAGATGAAGAAAGAGATAATTGATAAGTATGAAAGTGGAGTGCGTATAGCCGACCTAGTCAAGCTGTACAAGAAACCCCAATCAACCATCGCTACTATTGTGGGCACCAGAAAGACAATCAAGGAAGCTGTTCTTGCCAAAGGTTCAACTGTGTTTTCGAAACAAAGATCGCAATTGATGGAAGATGTTGAGAGACTCTTATTGGTGTGGATAAATGAAAAACAGATAGCAGGAGATAGCGTCTCTCAAGCGATCATATGTGAAAAGGCTAGGAAGTTGCATGAGGATTTAATTAAAAAAATGCCTGCAACTAGTGATGATGTGAGTGAATTTAAGGCCAGCAAAGGTTGGTTTGAGAGATTTAAGAAGTGTAGTGGCATCCATAGTGTGATAAGGCATGGTGAGGCTGCCAGTTAGGACCACAAAGCGGCTGAAAAATATGTGCAGGAATTCAAGGAGTACATAGAAACTGAAGGACTGAAACCTGAACAAGTGTTTAATTGTGATGGAAACAGGCCTGTTCTGGAAGAAAATGCCAAGCAGGACCTACATTACTCAGGAGGAAAAGGCACTCCCAGGACATAAGCCTATGAAAGACAGGCTTACTTTGTTGATGTGTGCCAATGCTACTGGTGATTGCAAAGTGAAGCCTTTATTAGTGTATCACTCTGAAACTCCCAGAGCGTTCAGGCAAAAGAATGTCCTCAAGGATAATTTGTGTGTGCTGTGGAGGCAAACAGTAAGGCATGGGTCACTAGGGAATTTTTCTATAACTGGTTACACCATGCATTTGCCCCCAATGTGAAAAATTACCTAACTGAAAAGAAATTAGAACTTAAGTGCCTCCTGGTGTTAGACAATGCCCCTGGTCATCCTACAGACGTGGCAGAGCGACTTTATGGGGACATGAGCTTCATTAAGGTGAAGTTTTTGCCTCCTAATACCACTCCTCTCCTGCAGCCCATGGACCAGCAGGTTATTTCCAACTTCAAGAAACTGTACACAAAAGCTCTGTTTGAAAGGTGCTTTGTAATGACCTCAGAAACTCAACTGACTCTAAGAGAGTTTTGGAGAGATCACTTTAATATCCTCAATTGTGTAAACCTTATAGGTAAGGCTTGGGAGGAAGTGACAAAGAGGACCTTGAACTCTGCTTGGAAGAAACTGTGGCCAGAATGTGTAGACAAAAGGGATTTTGAAGGGTTTGAGGCTAACCCTGAGAATCCTGTGCCAGTTGAGGAATCCATTGTGGCATTGGGAAAGTCCTTGGGTTGGAGGTTAGTGGGGAGGATGTGGAAGAGTTGGTGGAGGAGGACAATGAAGAACTAACCACTGATGAGCTGCTAGATCAACTTCAACAGCAAGAGGCCACACCTGAGGAAATTGCTTCGGAGGAGGGGAGAGAGAAATTGAAGAAGTTGCCTACTTCAAAGATTAAGGAAATCTGTGCAAAGTGGCTTGAAGTGCAAACCTTCATGGATGAAAATCACCCTCACACAGCTATTGCAAGCCGTGCTGGTGATTATTACACTGACAATGTTGTGAAACACTTTAGGCAAGTCATAAAGGAACGAGAGGTACAGGCCACTATGGACAGATATCTTGTGCGAAAGAAGTCCAGTGACTCTGAAGCTGGCCCTAGTGGCATTAAAAGAAGAAGGGAAGTAACCCCAGAAAAGGACTTACTACCTCAAGTCCTAATGGAAGGGGATTCCCCTTCTAAACACTAACACACTCTCTCCCCTCCTCCCATCCCATCAATCATCACCAGATCTTCAATAAAAGTAAGTGTCATTTAATTGTGCATGCCTTTTTCAGTTTGTGTGTATTAAAATTAACATTTCATGTGGTAAAAAAAAATTTTTTTCATACTTTTGGGCGTCTTGCACGGATTAATTTTATTTCCATTATTTCTTATGGGGAAAATTCATTCGCATAACGATTATTTCGCATAACGATGAGCCCTCTTGCACGGATTAAAATCGTTAACCGGGGGTCCACTGTACCTCCAAAAATAACAAAAAAAGGCACAATACCGTGACTGGAACGATACACAAATAACCCGCACATAGAAGAGAGGAGCTTATGACGATGTTTCGGCCCGACTTGGACCATTTACAAAGTCACACTTTGTGTGACTTTGTAAATAGTCCAAGTCGGACCGAAACGTCGTCGTAAGCTCCTCTCTTCTATGTGCGGGTATTTGTGTATATACCTCCAAACTGCTAATATCCCAAAACCCCTCCTTTAGAGTGCAGGCATTGTACTTCCCAGTTCCAGGACTCAAGTCCGGCTATATAAAAATAACCGGATTCCCTGAATCCTTTCACTAAATATTACCCTGCTCACACTCCAACAGATCGTCAGGTCCCAAATACCATTCGTCTCCATTCACTCCTATCGAACACACTCATGCACGCCTGCTGGAAGTCCAAGCCCCTTGCCCACAAAATCTCCCTTACCCCTTCCTTCCAACCTTTTTAGGACGACCCCTACCCCGCCTTTCTTCTCCTACAGATTTAAATGCTCTCCATGTCATTCTACTTTGATTGATTCACTCTGAATTACCAAACCACCTCAACAACCCCTCTTCAGCCCTCTTGACTAATACTTTTATTAACTCCACACCTTCTCCTAATTTCCACACTCCGAATTTTCTGCATAATATTTACACCGCACATTGCCCTTAGACAGGACATCTCCACTGCCTCCAACCGTCTCCTCGCTGCTCCATTCACAACCCAAGCTTCACACCCATATAAGAGAGCTGGTACTACTATACTTTCATACATTCCCTTCTTTGCCTCCATAGATAAATTCAAATCCAAATACCTACAAAAACCTCTCACATTGATAAACATCTACAGAGTTCCACAGTCAAACATTAGCCAATTTAGTCAAAATCTAGGAAGTATGATAACTGATGCACGCATGAACAACGTTTTTTGACTCCACATATACCTCAACGCACCATTCACCTTTTTTCTCTCATCAATTCTATGATTAACCTCATCTTTCATAAATCCATCTGCCGACACGTCAACTCCCAAGTAGTATCTGAAAGCATTCACTTCTTCCATACTCCTCCTCCCCAATTTGATATCCAATTTTTCTTTATCTAAATCATTTGACACCCTCATCACCTTACTCTTTTCTATGTTCACTTTCAACTTTCTACCTTCTACACACACTCCCAAACTCATCCACTAACCTTTGCAATTTTTCTTTAGAATCTCCCATAAGCACAGTATCATCAGCAAAAAGTAGCTGTGTCAATTCCCATTTTGTATTTGATTCCCCATAATTTAATCCCACCCCTCTCCTGAACACCCTAGCATTTACTTCTTTTACAACCCCATCTATAAATATACAGTGGACCCCCGGTTAATGATATTTTTTCACTCCAGAAGTATGTTCAGGTGCCAGTACTGACCGAATTTGTTCCCATAAGGAATATTGTGAAGTAGATTAGTCCATTTCAGACCCCCAAACATACACGTACAAACGCACTTACATAAATACACTTACATAATTGGTCGCATTCGGAGGTGATCGTTATGCGGGGGTCCACTGTATTAAACAACCATGGTGACATTACACATCCCTGTCTAAGACCTACTTTTACCGGGAAGTAGTCTCCCTCTCTTCTACACACCCTAACCTGAGCCTCACTATCTTTATAAAAACTCTTTACAGCATTTAGTAACTTACCACCTATTCCATATACAGTGGACCACCGCTTAACGATCACCTCCAAATGCGACCAATTATGTAAGTGTATTTATGTAAGTGCGTTTGTACGTGTATGTTTGGGGGTCTGAAATGGACTAATCTACTTCACAATATTCCTTATGGGAAAAAATTCCGTCAGTACTGGTACCTGAACATACTACTGGAATGAAAAAAGTTCGTTAACCGGGGGTCCACTGTACTTGCAAGATCTGCCACATTGCTCCCCTATCCACTCAATCATATGCCTTTTCTAAATCCATAAATGCAATAAAAACTTCCCTACCTATATCTAAATACTGTTCACATATACGCTTCAGTGTAAACACTTGATCTACACATCCTACATTCTGTCTTGCCTCTAATTCTTTCAGTTATGACCCTACACTTTTCCTGGTATACTCAGTAAACTTATTCCTCTATAATTTTTACAATCTCTTTTGTCCCCCTTCCCTTTATATTAAGGGACTAAACATGCTCTCTGTCAATCCCTAGGTACCTTCCCCTCTTTCATGCATTTATTAAACAAAAGTACCAACCACTCCAACACTGTATCCCCTCCTGCTTTTAACATTTCTGTCATGATCCTATCAGTTCCAGCTGCTTTACCCCCTTTCATTCTACGTAATGCCTCACGTACCTCCCCCACACTTACATTCTGCTGCTCTTCACTCCTAAAAGATGGTATACCTCCCTGGCCAGTGCATGAAATTACCGCCTCCCTTTCTTCCTCAACATTTAGAAGTTCCTCAAAATATTCTCGCCTTCTACCTAATACCTCCCTCTCCCCATCTATTAACTCCCCTACTCTGTTTTTAACTGACAAATCCATACGTTCCCTAGGCTTTCTTAACTTGTTTAACTCATTCCAAAATTTTTTCTTATTTTCATTAAAATTTCTTGACAGTGCCTCTCCCACTCTATCATCTGCTCTCCTTTTGCACTCTCTCACCACTCTCTTCACCTTTCTTTTACTCTCCATATACTCTGCTCTTCTATATATACTTCTGCTTTGTAAAAACCTCTCATAAGCTAACTTTTTCTCTTTTATCACACCCTTTACTTCATCATTCCATCAATCACCCCTCTTTCCTCATGTCCCCACCCTCCTATAACCACAAACTTCTACCCCACATTCTAATACTGCATTTTTAAAACTCATCCAACCCTCTTCAACCCCCCCACTACTCATCTTTGCACTAGCCCACCTTACTGCCAATAGTCGCTTATATCTCACCCAAACTTCCTCCTCCCTTAGTTTATACACTTTCACTACCCTCCTACTTGTTGTTGCCACCTTCCTCTTTTCCCATCTACCTCTTACTCTAACTGTAGCTACAACTAAATAATGATCCGATATATCAGTTGCCTCTCTATAAACATGCACTTCCTGGAGCCTACCCATCAACCTTTTATCCACCAATACATAATCTAACAAACTACTTTCATTACGTGCTACATCATACCTTGTATATTTATTTATCCTCTTTTTCATAAAATATGTATTACTTATTACCAAATTTCTTTCTACACATAGCTCAATTAAAGGCTCCCCATTTACATTTACCCTGGCACCCCAAAATTACCTACTACTCCCTCCATAAACATTTTTACCCACTTTAGCATTGAAATCCCCAACCACCATTACTCTCACACTTGATTCAAAACTCCCCACGCATTCACTCAACATTTCCCAGAATCTCTCTCTCTCCTCTACACTTCTATCTTCTCCAGGTGCATACACGCTTACTATAACCCACTTTTCACATCCAATCTTTATTTTACTCCACATAATCCTTGAATTTTATACATTTGTAGTCCCTCTTTTCCTGCCATAGCTTATCCTTCAACATTATTGCTACTCCTTTTTTAGCTCTAACTCTATTTGAAACCCCTGACCTAATCCCATTTATTCCTCTCCATTGAAACTCTCCCACCCCCTTCAGCTTTGTTTCACTTAAAGCCAGGACATCCAGTTTCTTCTCATTCATAACATCCACAATCATCTCTTTCTTATCATTTGCACAACATCCACGCACATTCAGACTTCCCACTTTGACAATTTTCTTCTTCTTATTCTTTTTGGTAATCTTTTATTTTATATATATATATATATATATATATATATAATATTATATATATATATATATTTTTTTTTTTTTTTTTTTTTTTTTTTTTTTTTAACAAGTTGGCTGTTAATGGCACCAAAAGTATGAAATTTGATGGAAAACTTACTGAATTATGCTCTTGCGAAGTTAGCAGTCTCGACGATGTTTACGCATCGGCAATTTTGCCTACTTTGAGCCCTATTTTCAGCCAATTCAAATGTACTAGTCGACAAAAATCATAACTATTTCGCTAGAACTTCGTTTTTTATATCGAATGAGTACAAGAAACTACCAATTTACCGATTTCAACTATCCAATACAGTGGTAAGAATTTATCAATTTTGCCAATTTCACACAAATTTCAAAAGATGGCAATTTCCAAATAGGGTCCAGAATAAACAAGAAAGACATTCCTGGCACTAAAATAACATTTCCTCTGTTCATTAGTCACGTCCCCAGGCCCCTCTTACATTTCTTATGCTTTCCACTTTGAATTTTTATTCTCACAAAAAAAAATAAGATTTACTGTTATACAGACTACTGCATTAGTGTAGAAATGGTATAAATAATATCGGTGCACTTGTGAAAGAATATTAGACTCACCAGTTGACATGTATTGGACGCTTAGCATAATTTGTTTACTTTTGAACTTTGGTAAAAATCGAACATTTCTGCTACTTTGAGCTCAATTTCTAGGTACTTTTCATTGTAAAATCAGTCAAAATCATCTCAATTTCTGTAATATGTCTTCTATTCTATAGAATGAGACCAGGAAAACTAGAATACAACAATTAATACCATGTGAAAATATAGTGCAAAGTCGCTGTTTTAATCCAAAAACACGGTCAAAGGTTTTTTTTCTCATTACGCACTGTGTGCTGCAGGATTTTTTTTATGCTGTGCACACTGACCACATAAACCCATTCTTTCATATGTAGGCCTACCAGCTTTCTCTCACTAGATTTGAAGGCACTAGAATTTATGCGTACTAGTATGTCATGAACACTGGTGCATAAGCCGTACTAGTGCGGCCGAAACCCTGAAAGGGTTAAGGCTCCAACCTGGGCTTGAAAGCCATAGAACAATGGGATCCACACTGAAAGGGTTAAGTGATGGGTATTGAGATAAAAGAGTATATTTGCAGAGGGAAAGGAAGAGAGGGTAGTAATATTGGATGAGGGTTTGTAATGGGGTAGAATGAAAAAGCTGGGAGAGGGAGAATTCATTATGATGACTAAACAATAGAAACTTTCATCATAGATGATTGCAAATTGCTTATCTATAAACCTGTTTGTTTCAACTATCCTGCATGTATATTTTTTTCAGCACTGTTTTGCATTTTGCAGGGAACATAGAGACCAGAGGGACCAGCGTAATTCTCACATGGTGAAGCAACCACAGCCCACCCAAGCACAGGCAAGAAAACCAGAGGTACGTGGCTCCTACACACTGCTTACATTACATTCTCTACTTGTTTAATTTGGATAGATTTCTTACTAATAAATGTATTGGAAATAGATTAACTAATGGGATATTCATCTACTTAGAATGTAATTACTATGCTTTGTAGAGCTGTTTACTAATATTTACTACTAATAAAATAAATATTAGGACTAGGTGAGATAATAATTGGAATGAATCTAAATAGTTGAATGGCACAGTATTATCAGGATTTAAATAAATTTAACAAATTTTGAAAATTATAATAATGATAATCATAATACAATTATTTTACAAACAAATTCTAAATTGGTTAAGCACATTTTTCAGTACATTTTTATGTGAAATGAAAATGAGGATATTATGTGTTGGGTGAATGATGTACAGTTTTTGATGAGGTCCCCATGTTTGTCCACAGTATGATATCTCTGTACTGTTTGTAAGTGGCCCACCAATCTTCCCCTATACGCATGCCTGTGGGGGCTTTATGCCACAGTTTACTTGGACTGTTATTAGTTATAAATAAATAATTTCAAGTGTAGTCCCAAAATTTTGTAGAGGAAGGGATTACCGGTAGCATTGTTGAGATTCATTGTTTATAGACAAATTTTTTATATTGACTGTTCTTGCGTGCTTTAAATTTAAAACACAAGTTTTTTCTAATGTTCTCTTCAGGGTGGACATCAATTCTGCCAACTTAGAGCATGGCTTCTGAATGTACATTATTTAATACCTTTTGCTCACTTAGTACTCATTATCTTCAGTTGAGTTTTGCATGAGAAGCTACTAACTGGTTTGTTTTTCTTATGTTTCATAATGCTTGGTGTCCTTTGTTGTGGGCAGCCTCACCCTTGGAGGTTGGAGGTTAGTGATAATTCGAGCACACAATTTGCATCCTAGTGCCCGTGACCTTCAGTCATTACTTACATCAATTTACCTTTACCCATTTATCTGCGCTATAGTCTGTTAAAAGATAAATGGATATTCTTTTCGTCCATAAAATTAAGCTGTGGCATGAAACAGCATTTCACGATACACTGTAGCTTAGTTTATCCAAATTTTTGAATACTACTTTTGATGATATTTCTTTCTTTCAGAAATTATGTATATAATTCATTTTCAATTGGACTGCAGGACTTGGATATGCTTGCTCAGCACCTGAATGAGCTTGGGGCAGTCGCTAATGACAGAGACAGAGAAAGAGAAAGAAGTGAAAGAGAACGTGCAGACAGAAGTGAGCGGGAAAGAGCAGAACGAGCAGAAAGAGACAGAGAACGTGAAAGGGCAGAAAGAGACCGTGAAAGGGAACGTGAGAGGGAAAGAGATAGAGAGCGTGAGCGGGAACGGGAGAGGGAGAGGGAACGTGAACGTGAACGTGAACGAGAAAGAGAAAGGGAACGAGAGCGACGAGAACAAGATAAAAGTCGTCAAAACGGAGGCGGAAGTAAGCATGAATCGCCTGCACCTCCTGCTGTTATCGATGAAGATTCCAGTGATGAAGATGATGAAGGCCGTATGAGAAATGATGGAACTCTCCTTGCATCTGATCCACCAAAGCCACTGTAAGTCCTTTGATAAGTTTTTCATCCCTTTTTTAATTTGTAATTATAATTTCTTTAGTTTGAGAAAGTTTAGTAGGATAGTTTAAGCTTGTTATTCTATCATTGATTTATACAGTTGGCTGTCGATTAAAACAGTAGTTATGTTCCTTAAAATGGCATCTGTTAAAATTTTTTTTATAAAATGAACTGAAGAATATATGGGAAAAAATAGGGTTACATTCATTAGGCCCTCAGTAGAGCTAATCTAATTTTTTACAAGCTTTGTAAGTCATCAGAACTCAAAAAAAAATTTTTTATTCATTACATTATAGTTGTTACTCTTTTTAGAAATGTGTGGGGAGGGTTGATGTGATCCTGTACAATAACTGTACAAACATGTGACAGGCAGTTCCACAATAGTTACCTGCTGCAATCATAACCACAGTTGCCTACAAACATAAGTAAAAATAGCAAATATTACCAGCCATAAGACAATTTTTTTTTACTAAATAAATGTGGCCAGAGTAAAACCCACTATAACATGAGTGAAAGCCATCCTCAAAAATATGAAAAATTTATAAAAAATCGTAAGAAAACCTTTTCTATACATGCTCTCTGCCAATCCCTAGGTACCTTCCCCTCTTTCATACATTTATTAAGCAAAAATACCAACCACTCCAACAATATATCTCCTCCTGCTTTTAACATTTCTGTCATGATCCCATCAGTTCCAGCTGCTTTACCCCCTTTCATTCTATGTAATGCCTCAAGCACCTCCCCCACACTTACATTCTGCTCTTCTTCACTCCTAAAAGATGGTATACCTCCCTGGCCAGTGCATGAAATTACTGCCTCCCTTTCTTCATCGACATTTAGAAGTTCCTCAAAATATTCCCGCCATCTACTCAATACCTCCATCTCCCCATCCACTAACTCCCCTACTCTGTTTTTAACTGATAGATCCATTCATTCCCTAGGCTTTCTTAACTTGTTTATCTCCAAAATTTTTTCTTATTTTCATTAAAATTTCTTGACAGTGCCTCTCCCACACTATCATCTGCTCTCCTTTTACACTCTCTCACCACTCTCTTCACCTTTCTTTTACTCTCCATATACTCTGCTCTTCTTATAACACTTCTGCTTTGTAACAGCCTCTTATAAGCTACCTTTTTCTCGTTTATCACACCCTTTACTTGATCATTCCACCAATCACTCCTCTTTCCTCCTGCACCCACACTCCTATAGCCACAAACGTCTGCCCCACATTCTAATACTGCATTTTTAAAACTATTCCAACCCTCTTCAACCCCCCCACTACTCATACTTGCACCAGCCCACCTTTCTGCCAATAGTTGTTTATATCTCACCCGAACTTCCTCCCTTAGTTTATACACTTTCGCCTCCATTTTGCTTGTTGCCATTTTCCTCTTTTCCCATCTACCTCTTACTCTAACTGTAGCTACTACTAAATAATGATCCGGTATGTCAGTTGCCCCTCTATAAACATGTACATCCTGGAGCCTACCCATCAGCCTTTTATCCACCAATACATAATCTAACAAACTACTTTCATTACGTGCTATATCATACCTTGTATATTTATTTATCCTCTTCTTCATAAAATATGTATTACTTATTACCAAAACTCTTTCTACACATAGCTCAATTAAAGGCTCCCCATTTTCATTTACCCCTGGCACCCCAGATTTACCTACTACTCCCTCCACAACATTTTTGCCCACTTTAGCATTGAAATCCCCAACCACCATTACTCTCACAGTTGGTTCAAAACTCCCCACACATTCCCTCAACATTTTTCTTAAAATCTCTCTCTCTCCTCTACACTTCTCTCTTCTCCAGGTGCATATATGTTTACTATAACCCACTTTTCACATCCAACCTTTATTTTACTCCACATAATCCTTGAATTAATACATTTGTAGTCCTTTTTTTTCCTGCCATAACTTATCCTTCAACATTATTGCTACTTTGTCTTTAGCTCTAACTGTATTTGAAACCCCTGACCTAATCCCATTTATTCCTCTCCACTGAAACTCTCCCATCCCCTTCAGCTTTGTTTCACTTAAAGCCAGGACATCCAGCTTCTCATTCATAACATCCACAATCATCTCTTTCTTATCATTTGCACAACATCCACACACATTCAGACTTCCCACTTTGACAATTTTCTTCTTGTTATTCTTTTTAGTAATTATTACAGGAAAAGGGGTTACTAGCCCATTGTTCCCGGCATTTTAGTTGACTTTTACAACACGCATGGCTTATGGAGGAAAGATTCTTATTCCACTTCCCCATGGATATAAAAGGAAAAGTAATAAGACCAAGAACTATTAAGAAATATTCAAAGAAAACTCAGATATGGGTGTATAAATTAACATGTACATGTATGTGTAGTGTGACGTAAGTGCAAGTAGAAGTAGCAAGACGTACCTGTAATCTTGCATATTTATGAGACAGACAAAAGACACCAGCAATCCTACCATCATGTAAAACAGTTACAGGCTTTCACTTCACACTCACTTGGTAGGACGGTAGTACCTCCCTGTGTGGGTGCTGTCTACCAACCTACTACATATTTTATAAAAAAAAATTGCCAAATTTTCTCTAGATAGTTGAGGTTGCATTAGCATTTCTTTGTTTTTATTGGGTTATGTTTGAAAGCATGGAACATGTGACTGCTTTGAATTCTTCTGTATATTTACATACACTTGGGTTCTCAATCAGTTTATAAAATGAATAATTCTAAGATTTGTTGAAGATATCTTGTATTTCTTCTTAGGAATAAGTACAGGTTGGCCATCACTAATCCGGCAGTCAGCAATCCAGTTCCATCAGTAATCGGGCACTAATTTCAACTAGCATAATTTCACACCACACCAACCTGCCGCTACTGTTTGGTGGCGCTACTTGCTGCATAAGTCATTCCATTTTCTTTTTCCACATTTATTGTTATAACCTGCTCACTTTTAGCCCTAGCTATGGTTCCAGCAAATAAGAGAAATGCTTCTCGTTGTGTAAAGCACATACCCCAGTAGATTGTCCATAAAAGATAAGGTGGCTTTGAAGCCACTGTCAGTCACCATGAGCTCAGCTCACTCAGATAAGCTGTGACCAGTAAATTTGGGTTTACATATGAGAGAATAGGTTTGTGTGGTAAGTGTGCACTATATAAAAAACAATCGTGCAGCACACGGTGCATAATGATAAAAAACTGCGACTATATCGTGTGGTTTGTATGGTTGTATTCTCGTTGTTTTGGTCTCATTTGATAGAAAGGCAGATACATTACAGAAATAGATATAATTTTGATTGGTTTCACATCAGAACCTTAAAATTGAGCTCAAAGTAGCAGAACTGTTCGATTTTTGCCAGTGTTCAAGAGTAAACAAATGACGTCACCATCCAATACTTGTCCAACTTGCTGGTCTAATATGCAGTCATGAATGGGGTGACATTATTTATACAATTATTACAATAATGCAATAGTCTGTATAACAGTAAATCTTTTATTTTCTGTGTGAATAAAAATTCAAAATGGAAAGCAAGCATAATATAAGAGGGGCCTGGAGACATGACTAATGAACAGAGAAAATGTTATTTTAGTGCTAGGAATGTTTGCATTGTTTATTCTAGGCCCTATTTTGAAATTGGCATATTTTGAAATTTCTTTGAAATTTGCCAAATTACTGATTTCTGACCACTTTACTGGGTAGTTGAAATAGGTGAATGGGCAGTTTCTTGCCCTTGGTCAACAGAATAGAAGGAATACGTACTAGCAAAATAGCTATGAGTTTGGTAGACTAGAACAATGGAATGGGGCAAAAATAGGGCGTAAAAAGGGTGAAATCAACGATTCGTAAATATCACCATTGGGTTAAGTGTATACTAACCTAACCACTGTAATTCGGCAAAATCACTAATCCAGCATCCTATAGGTCCTGATGATGCCGGATTAGTGATGGCCAACCTGTACCTAATAGTTCGGCGTAAGTTAGCATGTACTTCCCCAGTCCATAGTTTGTAATGTAACAGGTACATGTGTGTGTGTTCTAAATACAATTTAATTCTGCAGTCTTCACTGAAACCTTAATAAAGTACAAAAACAGTGAAACAACTGGAAGTGCTCACTGTCCTTTATCATTAAGCTTTGTTTATGCCTTTGAAAGTTTATTCACCTGCAACAGTTGCAAATATTGGGATCTATATATACCTTACCCAGAGGTTTTTATCTTAAGTTTTCATTGGGGTTAATTCAGATTGGATTTTAGATAGATTTGTTAGGCCTTTCTCACATCTCAAACTTTAAATTGCATCTTATAATGTTACTCTTTTTACCTGGAATGCTTTTATAGACTTTTATTGCTCCTTCATAGCCTTCCTAATGATACTAACACTGTTTTGATTTTGCATGAGACTTCTGTCCTCTATCTTGATTTATAGTACCAAAGTTACCTTGTCTTGCTTGTATTTTACAAAAGCAATTAGAAATTTAACAGTTATTTTGAAAGCTTATATGTCATTTCATTATGGTATAGAAAAATGTTTGAATTGTAAATTATTAATTCTATGAATGTGATAATAAATTCCTACTGCAGCTGGTGCTTCTAGTGCCCATAACACCTGTCATATTGAATGATATCAGATAAGGGACTTCATTTTATGATAGAGATTGTAGGAGCTTAAGAAAGAATAAATAAATGATTTGCATGTTTAAAAATGGGTAATGGTGAGCTCTTAAAACTACCAGGATGAGAATTTTATTTCAGTTATTCAGTATTTTTAAGGTATTCACTCAGTTGGGAGAATCTTTATGGGTAAAACTAGTTAAGATCAATATTAACAATGTCCGTATACTGAGCATTCAAGAAAATTAGAGTTGTGAGCTGATTTTTTTATTATAGAATGTGCTTTTATTTACCTGTACTTTCAGCTTTTTACACTATAATTGTCTAACCTATTTTGACTTGGTTTCTAATAATGTCACTAGATGTATCTTATGCATCATAATAAAATTAGTATTTGCAATCATATGTTTATGTTATTAATATTTATTTGCAAAAGTTGACCTATGAGTTTAATGCTGCATTAAGTAGCTTTAGTTTTGCATGCCCTCTGGTGTTTGGTGTGGATGCCAATAACCCACTAACGCACTAACGGGCCAATCTTCCACTCTTTCCCTGCTAAACAGGTTCGACTATTCCACTTTCAGGCCTCCAGAGGGTGCCCTTCCCCACACCGCACTGCAAGGTAAGAAATGGCAAGCTTTCTAATGTTAATATGTGGACTGGCCTCATCCGGAATAAACCTATTAGACTGGCTCTTCCTGGTCCTAAGAAAGGGTAGTATTGTATGCAGAAGTTCATGATTCAGAATTTAAGATTAGACTACCATCCTGAGGAACTAAGAGCCACTATGATTTTGAGTTAGACTGATGTTTGAACTGTTTGAAATCATGTGATGGACATGCTAAATTCCCAAGTAACAAATGTATCTTGAGATTAAGTTAGTATGAATTGTAAGATATATTTAGTATAAATCACTTACATGCTGAGATATTAAAATGATCATATGCTCCAGTCTTATCCAACAGTGTGAAGTAGAATGAAACTGAAGATCTCACTGTATTTTGATTTGGGTAGCTTTAAAAATAGGTCAGACCAGTACATGAGTGGGTGCGAGTCGCACCTGCCTCGCATAAGCCAGTATTCCTGCTGCGGTGTCCTTTCTTTTGTTTTTATGAGTGGTTGTAGGTGGGTGTGAATTGAATCTGCCTAGCATGGGCCAGTATCTTGCTGCAGTATCTTGTCAGATACCAGTTAAGAGTAGCAGAGGGAGGGGGGGGTACCAGTATGAAAACAAAGCAACTGCAGCTGAGCTATGCACACTTCTTTATTGCAGTCAAATTGATGCAAGGTGTATATATAGTAAGTACTATATTGACATATCTAGTTTCTCTCAAAAAGAACAAAAAAGGCACAATACTGTGACTGGAACAATATACAAATAACCTGCATGGAGGAGAAAGAAAAGCTTATGACGATATTTCAGTCTGTCTCAGACCATTCATGAGCCACATGGCATACACAGAAGAGAGTGAGTGAGCCAGTATGTATATATAGGTGAGGAGGACAGGGACAGGAGAAAGAGCAAAAGAAAAAGTTGTATTGGTCATGGTAATGTTGGTAATGAAAGTAGTAGTGATAGTGGCAAGTAGGGGTAGTAGTTTGTCACAAGATATAGAAAGGGAGCAAAGGAGGGCAATAGTAGTAGTTTCCATGTTATTTGTCCCTCTCTGCCTTATTTTTGTGATCTTCCTAAAACTCATAAACCTGTTATTCCTCTACATCCTATCATATTCCCCAGAGGTTCTATCTTGTAATCTCTTGCCTCTTGGCTTGCCAAAATTCTCACTCCCTTTTTTGGTACTTTTCCTTCTCCTCGCCTCCATCACTCTCAAGACTTCATCAGACGTGTTTGTCCTCTACAGAGCTGTAAGATGCTTAGTGTTGACTTGTTCCTCTTGATGATGATCTTAATTTTCGCAGAGTGAAGGCTAATAAAAGGTTACTTCATCTTCCTATTCCTACTGATATTTTCCTTGGTCTGATTTGCCTTTGTGTGGACACACTCCTTTTCCTTGCTGGGTAAATTTATTATCAAATCTTGGGCATTGCTATGTTATCCTTCCTACTATTGGTGTGTGCCCTTCCCTCTGGCTCCATTATGTAGATCACATAACTCTGAAAGGGAAACTAATTCTTTGCTTCCTTTCCTTGATACACATGTCCTTCTTGGCTACAGGCTTCCTTTTTCTGTTTACTGCAAACCCATGCCCAGTAGCATGTACATTTTCTTACCATGCTCCCTCTGTCAAGAAAAGTGTTCTTATTTCTTTCTTTCTCCATGCTTTCTTTCCACATTTGTGACCCTTCATTCCTCAAATTGGAAATTTCCACTCTTTGCAATTCATTTTCTTGTCTTGGGTACCCCTCCAGTTTCATAAACTCTGCCTTTTCATGTGCTAAACAGACTTTCTTCTTTCCCAGACTTCTACTGTGAAATCTATTATTCTCTGCCTTCCCTATTCTTCCAGTCTTTCTAATTTCAACAACTCTGTTCATTCCCTAGACATCAAACTTACTTTTCACCAAACTAACACCCTTTGCAGTAATCTAGTTCATAACTCTTCTCCTTCCACCTGCAATTGATACCCTTGGTATCTACTCTTGTTTCATGCTCCTCTTGTCCCCTTCAGTACTTTGGAGAAATGGGCTGCTCTCTTTCTAACTGACTTAAAGAGCATAAAAAAGTGTAAGACTTGCCAACACCAGTAATGCCTTTTTCTGTCATGTTAGAGATCATAGTCATCCTATTGACTGGTTCTCTGCTAAAACTGTATCCTACTTCTAGCCTTTACAGCTGCCATCTTTTTGAAGCATCCCTTATAGTACACACCTTTCTTTTAATGAATCTTAGTCCTCGCTTTGTCTCTGTAGATGCCTTCCTTTTTCCTTACATTGTCAAATGCTCCAAACTTCAGAATGCTTGTGACTGGACATGATTCTTTCATCTCTCCATACTATTTCTCTTTTCCTTTTTTTCCCATATTTCTTTGTTTTCTTTTCTTCTGCCTAGTGTGTTCTGTCTCTCAGTTCCTTCCCCTCTCCCCCTTTCCCTGTGTTTTTGGTCCTACACCTTGTGGGCCCTTAGCTCTCCTGCAGTACTCCTTTTCTTGTCCTTAGACTTACCCTCCTCCTCTTGCTGCTGCCGCTGCCACTGCCACCATCCTTTACTACTTTGACTACCACTCATTTACTAGTACTACTATGACTACTACTACTACTACCATGACTACTACTACTACTACCATGACTACTACTACTACCATGACTACTACTACTACATGACTACTACTACTACTATACTTCTACTACTACTATACTTCTACTACTACTATACTTCTACTACTACTATACTTCTACTACTACTATACTTCTACTACTACTATACTTCTACTACTACTACTACTATACTTCTACTACTACTATACTTCTACTACTACTACTACCATACTTCTACTACTACTACTACTACTATACTTTACTACTACTACTACTACTACTATACTTCTACTACTACTATACGTCTACTACTACTACTACTATACTTCTACTACTACCATGACTATTACTACTACTATACTTCTACTACTACTACTACTGTACTTCTACTACCATGACTATTACTACTACTACTATTACCATGACTACTACTACTATTACTATGACTACTACTACAACTGTTATGGCTAATATGACCACTACTACTACTATACTACTATGCTGCTACTACTACTATATTTCTATACTGCTACTACTACTACTACTACTACTATACTACTACTATACCACTAATATACTACTATACTACTACTATACTACTACTACTATACTACTACTACTATACTACTACTACTACACTACTACTACACTACTACTATACTACTACTACTACTACTATACTACTACTATACTACTACTACTATACTACTACTACTACTATACTAATACTTCTACTATACTACTATTACTACTACTATACTACTACTATACTACTACTACTATACTACTACTACTACTACTATACTACTACTGTACTACTACTACTACTACTACTATACTACTACTATTACTATACTACTACTACTATACTACTACTACTATACTACTACTACTACTACTATACTACTGTACTACTATACTACTGTACTACTATACTACTACTATACTACTACTACTACTATACTACTACTACTATACTACTATCCTACTACTATACTACTACTACTACTATTCTATACTACTATTACTATACTACTATTACTATACTATACTACTACTACTATATACTACTACTACTATACTACTACTACTACTATACTACTACTACTACTATACTACTACTATACTACTATACTATACTATACTACTACTACTATACTAATACTATCTACTATACTACTATTACTACTACTATACTATCTACTACTATACTACTACTATACTATACTTACTACTACTATATACTACTACTTACTACTTACTACTTACTACTTACTACTACTATACTACATACTACTATATACTATACTAACTATACTACTATACTACTACTTACTATACTACTACTACTACTATTACTACTTACTACTATACTACTTACTACTATAACTACTACACTTACATACTACTACTACTTACTTACTACTACTACTACTACTATACTACTTACTATACTACTATACTACTACTACTATACTATACTACTATTACTATACTACTATTACTATACTACTATTACTATACTATTACTATACTACTACTATTACTATACTACTATTACTATACTATTACTATACTACTACTATTACTATACTACTATTACTATACTACTATTACTATACTACTACTATACTACTACTATTACTATACTACTACTATATACTACTACTACTACTACTACTATACTACTACTACTATACTACTATTATACTAATACTACTATACTACTACTACTATACTACTATGACTGCTACCACTATACTACTACTACTACTGTGATTACTACTACTACTACTGCTACTGTGACTACTACTATGACTACCACTTCTTTACTAATGTTACTTCTATGGCTTCCACTACTATGAGAAAAGACTAAGACAGACTGCCAAGAAATAACAGAAATCTTATGCCAACTGAAAACACTTCTGGAGTGGAGGGGCAGTCATTGGCCTCCACTCCAGAACAACAGATATTAATGCCAGAAAACAAAGCCTCCCCTATAATCCATCAATATGATGACATTTATCTTTGTAAATATACAGAGTCTAAAGCCATCAACAAACAACAAAATACCTATAATCAAGGGACTGTTCATAGAGTCAAATGCAATGTTTGCTCCTTTCACAGAGACCCACATAAAGGATCATATTGACTAAGAAATATTCAGATGCAACATCAAACAGGCAGCAAGGGGGATTTAGCCTATACATCACAGTTGCTCATTTTCTCAGAATTACTAAACACTTCAAATGAGGCAGTTGAAGTATTGGCAGCAAAGATTGAAAACCAAAACCTTGTCATTGTGGTTGTATACATACCTCTGGATGCAACTTCCAGCAATTCTAGAAACAGTTTTTTGAAAATTGACCACTGTCTGGAAAATCTCCCAACTCCTACTCCAAACAT